TGAGAGACAAAAGAGCTAACTGACTGTTGCTGGTCTGGCCATCCGGTATGCATACCGGACGTGTCCGGTATTTGCCCAGTAACTGTAAAAATATTGTTCTCGGGTTGGTTCGTGGGGAGTTCCGACGCATGTCGGGAATTCCGATGGTCGGAAGTTCCAACAATGGTCGGGAGTTCCGATGTCTCGCACTTTAACTAACCTGGAGGGTTCACTGTCCTGGTCATACCGGACATATCTGGTATTCATACCGGACGTGTCCAATATGCACGACCAGAGGCCAACGGCTAGTTTTCAAAAGTCTTGAGGGTCGGGAGTTCCGACGTAAGTCGGGAGTTCCGATGGTCGGGAGTTCCGGCATGCATCGGGAGTTCTGAGACCTCACTAACTTTAACTCAGTTACATGGTTTTCAAATTTGCTGAGGGTCGGGAGTTCCGATGTGAGTCGGGAGTTCAGATGGTCGGAAGTCCCGGCTTTCATCGGGAGTTCCGACGCCTCACAACATCACTGTAACTTAGTTACCATTGGTGCAGTGTAAGTCATACCTGACGTGTCCGGTATGCATACCGGACGTGTCCGGTATTACAACGGCTATAAAACGGCTAGTTTTTCCATGGGGCTATAAATACCCCAAGCCTCCACCTTTGGAGGCTACTGATTCTGCTAAGATAGACACATGTTTTTGAGCCTTGCCAACTCTCCCAACCCTCTCTTAGTGAGTGTGTGATCCAAATTGTAAAATCAATTTGTGGATTAAGAGAGAATTTGAAAAAGAGAGCAAGCCACCACTTGAGCACTTGTGCATATTGTCAATCTCGTGATTCGCATTTGTTACTCTTGGACTCTTCGGTCCTAGATGGCTAGGCGTCGTCGGAGAGCAACCAGAGAGATTGTGGTTGCTTTGGAAAGTTTGTAACGGTCGATTCTGCCGCCTCGGAATCATTTAGTGGAAGGAGGAAAAGGAGTTGGAAAAGACTCCAACTAGAGTGACCTTCGTGGTACCCTCTAGGGCTGACCTTCACTGGGTCACCCGCAGCCCCCTCAACGGAGAGTAGGACTCGAACGAGTCCGAACTTCGGTAAAACAAATATCGTGTCTCAATTCGCATTTCATTTGATATTTGTGTTGCTCTAGCTATTCTGCAGGTTCTCTGTGTATATTACTATCTCTAATAGTTTCCTGCAGTTTGGATTGAAGATAGAAATCAAAAGGAGCAAGTTTGGGGCTGTTCCAAGTCGTGAATACGGGAATACCTACCGGACACGTCCGATATTAGCCCCTGCGCCAAACTGAATTGTATTGTGTTCTAACTCTTTGGTTACAGGCGTTTGGCTCCAAGATTCATTTAGTATCTTTTATATACTCTGTGGCTAACTTGTGAGGGGTGGTATTACTCTTTATTTGGAGTTTCCATTTTGGAAACTCCCTTTACTAATCGTTTCCGTTTGTAAAGGTGTTAATTTTCAGAAACGCCTATTCACCCCCCTCTAGGCGGCATCCTTGGTCCTTTCAACCTTACTGGAAGTGATCGACGACGGGGGTCCTATGTCCGGTCATACACTGTGCTGCGTCCGGTCACAACTTAACCGTTGAGATCGGACGCTCAGTATTTGAAGCGATGGATGACGTGGCAGCCATTCGTTGACCGGACGCTGGCATGGTGCATCTGGTCGATACGATCGGAGCATCCGGTCGTCCCGAGTTTTGCCTAGCGAAGGGGTAACGGCTAGTTTAGCCCGTGGGGCTATAAATAGAAGGTGGTCTCGGCCATGGCTGGTGCTGAGCACCTTGGGGGACTTAGTGTCCATGCTTGAGAGTGCTTAGGAGCCCTCCATCTCACATATGCTTGATAGTGATCATCCGATTGTGTGTGAGAGCGATTCTAGTGTGATTGCATCATGAGGTTGTATCGAGTGGCACTAGGTGGTCGTCTTGCAAGCCGATGGTGCTTTTTACTCTTGGAGGTTGCCACCTCCTAGACGGCTTGGTGGTGGTCTTCGTCGAAGCCCGCAAGAAGCTTGTGCGGTGCTCCAGAGAAGAGCTTTGTGAGGGGTATTGTGCTTGACCCGCTGGAGCCACGAAGAGCAACTCTAGTAGAGCGTGTCATTGAGCTACCCTTACTTTCGGGGTAGGTTCTTACGGTGCCCGACGTGCGGGCTTGGCGGGTGATGCCAATTAGCCGCCGAACCACCAAGTGAGTGGTCGACACAACGGGGACTAGTGTGTTGGCAAGCACGTGAACCTCGGGAGAAAAATCACCGTGTCAACTTTGTTCTTCCCGTTGGTTTGCAGTCCCCTCATACAAGCTTGTAATGTCTTTCATATGCATTGTGCTTGTGTAGTTACTTTTATAATTAGTTAGATTGTGTAGCTTGCTAGTTACCTTCTAGCTTGTGTGGCATAGAAGTAGCTCCCTTGCGTTGCTAATTTAGTTTGTGTAACCTTGTTAGTCATATTGTTTAGTTTATGTAGCTAAGTATTTGTGTTCTCTAATTTGGCATTGGTTGCCTTGTCATTGAGCATTGCTAGTGAGCCTAGGAGCTTTTGTGCTTTTTGCTTACTAGCATGTATAGGAGCTCCCTTATTGCTTGAAGTACTAGTGGCATAGGTTTGTGTGACCTTGCTTCTAGAATTGGTTATGTGAGCTCTAGCTAGCCTGTCACCTTTGTTGCTTGAATTATGATCTTTATAAGGTGCTAGAGAACATAGATAGAGGGATGTAGTCTTGGCTAGACCGATAGATTTAATTCCGCACTTGTTTCGGTTAGCCGGTGCGATTAAATTTGGAAATGACTATTCACCCCCCTCTAGTCGCCATCTCGACCTTACAACCGGGCTCACACCACGATGGGCTGGTTGCGACTTCTTTGGGCCAGACTGAGAAACAGAAGAAGAGGCCATCGTTTTTGAATTCAAAGGAGGCGTCAATCCCGCCTGATCGAGTGCTCCCTTAACTCCTTGCCCTTTAGGGACCCAGCGAAGAACACGCTTAGAAGATTTTGAAGAGGAGTTAAGTCTGGAGGAACCGTGATAGTTGGAAAAGTCCAAATCAAGTTTCTTATCATAAACAAGATTGCGATCCATGTAGTTGGCCTGATAATTCCTTGGATAATTGAGACGAAGGAAAACAGAATGCTTCTCTGGAGGTTTGAACGGCAAGGAAGAACGGACAATTTCAGCATAGCTTTTCTTGGATTTGGGACCAACAGTGGTCCATTCCGCTTCTTGTTCCTTACACCAGAGAGCATAATCCTTGCGCCAATTAGGCCCTCCTCCACCCCAGAGGTCAAAGTAAACAACAAAGAATTTGCAAGAGAAGCTACGAAGTCTGTAAATCATAAAGCCAACTTTCTTGCAAGAGACTGGAAAACTAAACATCCAATTGGAAAGATGGAAAACATTGAAATCTTTAGCAATGCCACCAAGGCACGCTTGAAGGATGAGATCGACAGAATCCTCATTGAGGCGAATAGCAGAGCGCCCAAAGCTGATGACCAGATGAAAAGCCGAAGAAGAGAGGGGAGATGTCGGACTCACCGAGCAACCGAAATGTTCCTTCACCAAGGAACCAAACTTGACCCCAGGATCAAAGCAAAGATCCGAGAGTCCAGCCATGACGAGGGGGACAGATCAGGTGGAAGCGCCATGGTTGGTTGAGGTTGGAGCAGCGGGGAGGGGGAGGGGAGGAGAGCGGAGGACGCCATCGTGGGGTACCCAAATCTGAGTGTGGCTAGTGTACCCAAACAAATCTTCTTCTTAATGAAAAATGTGCCTCGGCACGGTCGCGAAAAAAGAGTAGCCTATTTTTTATTCCTCGATTCGCTGTAAGTACTTGTTGTTTATTGCTATATATTATTCTTGTTTACATGATCATATGGTTATATAGGCTTATGATAAACTTGTTATTACTCAATTGCTAAAATTATGACTCATTAAAAGCTAATCGCAGTAAACCAGTGTCAGTCTTTTGAGCCTCATGAACCCCATATTATATTTGTTGAGTACGACATATACTTACGATTGCTTTACATTCAAACTTTGGAAAAACCCTGGATGGGTAACAAAAGATGGAGCTTAGTTAAAGTTTTTGAGGAGTCCTAGGCGTACGTACCCACGGTCAACCGTCTCTGTGGTGTTTGGAGGCTTCACTTAAAGATTAGAATGTTAAGTTTTCGCTACTCTGAAAATATCTTATCTCTATCTAATATCGTTGTTCGTTATATAATAAAGCATTATCTCTTGATACTATTGTAATTTGTTGTCTATGTATGACTAATTCCTGTGCACACATAGGATTCTACATTCGATTTTGTCTTTCAAATCGGGTGTGACAGGCATATCTCTCGACCACATTCAATGGTGTTCTAGGTGGCACTGCCAACCCTATGCCCCTTCCCGACGGGTATTCTCGGGAGGTGCTTATGAGTTTATCGACCGAATAATAAATTACAGATTTGGTTGACCGACTTACTTGGGTCGGTCTTGCTGTTTCAGGGCATTCTTGCTGCGTTTTAAGCCGTACGCGGCCTCAGGCGTCCTAGTTCTTTTCTGTGACCCAAATTAGCGCCAACGTTTGGTCCAAATTAGACCTAGCCAATATGAGAGTTTCGGCACCTTAGACTTTAACGGAGGAATACATATAGTCACTATTGATTTTGGTGAAACGGAAAATAAAAACAGTTGCGTCGTAATGTCCAATCTCTCGATTGCGGCACCTTAGACTTTTTGTAGTGTGGATTCCACGCACTCCTTATCTCCTTGACTCGTCTTCGACGGTGCCGTAGAAACTGAATTGTTGGCCACTATAGTAGCTTGTCGTCCAAACATGACTTTGTCGTGCTTGACACCTAACTAGTTAAATTTGTGCAAGAAATTTGATTATTGAAATATAAACTGATGTTGACAGGACTGTGCTACACTAATTAATTGTTTGATATAATATAACAACAACGATGTCTCCACTACCTGTTAGTCGGGTAATTAAGCCTCCATGTTATCCACCATGGCCATCGTGCTGCTGGCCCTTCTCCTCTTTCCGTTCGCCGATGCCCAATGGCAAGTCTGCGGCAACACGGGCAACTACACGGCGGCCAGCACCTACCAAGCCAATCTTGGTCAGCTCTCTGCAAGCCTCCCCAAGAAAGCCTCTTCGAACACGACCCTCTTCGCCACGGGTACCGCCGGTGCAGTGCCGGACGTGGTGTACGCCCTTGCCCTCTGCCGCGGGGACATCAACGCCTCCGCCTGCAAGGACTGCGTCACAACAGGCTTCCAGGACGCGCAGCAGCTCTGCGCGTTCAGCAAGGAAGCCACCGTCTTCTACGATTCCTGCCTCCTCAGCTTCTCCAATGGAAACTTCCTGTCGACCACCACCAACGGCGGCAACCTCCTCCTGATGAACAGCCAGAACTTCACGGAGAGCGCCGACTTCATCAGGCTCTTCTTGTTCACTCTGCTGAACGACACGGCCGAGTCCGCGGTCAACAGCTCCAGGAGGTTCACGACCGCGCGCATGGACATTAGCTCCATGCCGACGATGTACTGCGCTGTGCAGTGCACGCCTGACCTCACCGCCGACGAGTGCGCAGCCTGTTTGCAAGACTTCCCGCAGCTGACGCTCCAGTACCTGGACGGGCGGCGAGGAGGTCGAGTCCTTGGGGTGCGGTGTAACATGAGGTACGAGATCTACCCTTTTTACCAAGGGGACCCCACGCTACGTATTATCTCTTTGGCCCCGGCAGTGCCGGCGATCGGTAACACCACTCCGGGAACGAACGTCACGGTGTATCCGCAGCCACCACTACCTCCACCTGCCGCGCCACCGGCGGCGATAATCCCATCCGTCCCAGCACAAGAACAGAGAGGTATGTACTAGTACATAAGAGCAACATCACACAGCTGCTACTGTGTCTTTTTTAAAACAACATCGGGCCTCGTTCGGCTCTCCAATAACGAGTCCATGTAACTATTCTCAGTTGGAATGGTTCACTAATTTGTATAATGTTAATGAGCTAGAATGGTTTCGAGCTCTAGAATGAGGCCCTAAGACATTTGCGGCCATTTTTATTAGATGAGAGAGAAAAAAGAACACACGTCACAACTTCACCACTCACACCACTGTCTCCAATTAGGGACAACTCCACACCAAAAAAAAGTTGAAAACTGAGACAAGAAGAGATTTAGAGAATTTCTAGGTTAGATGGATCCATCCAACGAGAAAAAAAAAGTAGAACTAAAACAGTACAATAAAAAACAAACCGATGCGATGTTGGGCTGCGTCGCGCAATTAAACCGTTGGATATCATCTTTTAATGGAACCAACCACTTGTCTCGGTTGTAATTCTTATTCTTGGAAGGTTCTTCGGTTGCATTGCTTTCAAATATTCCACCAGACATAGATAAGGATACCATCGAAAGAGCTTCTTTGAGATTTATCAAAGCACACTCTACTTCTGAGTAATATATTTTGTAGCTGGAAGAGTTTGAACTAATTTTTAACTATGGACCACAACTCAATAGTGGTGGGTAGTCTTTACAAAGATGCAGTGTAGTTTTTAGACTAACCATGCAAAGTTTCCAAATCAGTGTGGCTAGTTTCTTTTCCACAAGTTGTTAGAATTTTTCGGTGTAACAATGTCCAACCGAAGAAACAACACTTTTTTTGGCCTCTGCTTTTCATATTGGCATAATCTTAATCTTGGTGGAGTTTCCTTTGAATTGGACTTGGTAAGCACTTTTAGTACTATATTCTCCATTTGTAGTCCACCTCCATCTAATGTACTAATTGTCTTGATCTGGGTGTAAGGTTGTTTATTGTATAACACTATAGCCTTCCACATGTTAGAAAATTATATTATTTCTGACCGGTGTAAATATGTGTGATATGGTAGACCTATTTGTTGCGTGTAAGTGCTTTGTCCACTGTAATATTCTTTTGGATTGCTTTGGCGTACAAAGTTGGGGCGATGTTTTCAACAACTGCATTGTTGATCTAACTTGACATCCAAAAAAGTGTGGTTTTCCCATTATCGCCCGTAACTGTTGTAGAGGCATTGAAAAGATCAATATATGCAGTATTGCAGGGTATATCCAAATTTGTCCACGCCCTGTCCTTGTGATTCTTCCATTGAAACCAAAACCATCACAGCCTTAAAGCCCTTGGAAGCGTTCTAGATGTAGAATTCCTAGGCCCCCAATATCTTTTGGAAGACAAGTAGTTGGCCAGTTTCTCAGGGGAGCTCTTATCAAGAGAAAATTCCTTCTTATGCCATTGATTTTTTTTATTAGCCATTTTGAGGGTGGGAATATTGTGAGGTGGTAGAAGGGCTGCGAAGTTCGGACCATTTTAACCAAGGTTTCATGTTCGGAGGTTGTTAACAAGTTATCTTTCCAACCTAAGAGGCGGTTGCCAATTATGTTGATCAAATGTTGCACGCCCTTCAAATTTTTTTTGTTATGGAGTGGCAACCTGCAGCCTCACATGTACCTTTGCTAATCACTCTACTCGTAAGTCACTTCAGTTCGTACGAGATATTCTTTCTCCTTGTATTATCTTCATCCAATTTTGAAATGGGTATTAGATACCCTAAACGAATTTGAATGAAAAAGTTTTCAACAACTAAGTTGTTGATATCGTCGAGAACTACAACTTTGGTTTTGATTATTTCTCCATCCAAGGTCGTTTGAACACTTTGAATTTCAATGTGCGAAATTCAAACTTAATTTTCCTTGAATAGATGATTTTAAATGAAAAAGTTTTCAACTATATAGTTCTATAACTTTTCAAGATCTACAACGTTGATTTTAGTCGTTTATCCATCCGATGACGTTTGAAAAAGTGCATGCGAGTAATTGATAATTAACATAGTTTCTATTAGAAAGTACCTATGTGGCTATTTGGTTAGAAAATGAACAAATAAGACAAAAAAGGAAAATAAACAATTTTAACTAGCTTTATACCCCCAAATTTATCCATAGATTTCTTATACTTATATATTTTATTTTAAAATACTAATGTCTCTAAATACTAGCCTGTTAAGGAGCATGGTTGATTGATGGACCGGTACGGTATCTATAGTTTTCAATATAATAACTTTTGACTTTGCTTTGTTCATATTGAGACCCCAAAACGTGGTTCAACCATCTAGGATGTGTGTTGATAGAGACTATGGAGAAAATGAGCACTATCGTTTTTTTAAAAGCTGACATGGGAATCATCGTACCATGATCATTTTTCCTAGTCCCTTAATTATTTGTGACAAGTCTAAACTGACTTCGATCTGGGACAAAGTATATATTGTAACATAATAACAAATAGTCCCTCGTTATAGCTGTAACAACCTACAAAAAAATAAGAACTAGAATCGGTCATTTCAAACTGTTGGATTTATCGTGAAAAAATATTACAGAATAAGAGTAATATTGTATGTTTCTTCAATGTTTTTTATTAGAAATCACTTGTAATAGTTCATATCAGATACCTGTGAGGGTCCAAAAGGTCATACATTTAGGAAGAGAGAATAAACAATAAAATCCAATATGTTGATTGTTGTCCATTTGATATTGTACCAACTTTTTAGTCACTAATTGTGTTATCACAAACAAGATTAACGAACAAGTAAATTTTTTCCTAATGGAATTAACATCCCTTTCCGTACTACAAGCATCCTTACCTTTACCTCTGCACTTAGGTTGCTGTCAAATCAGCAAAGGTCCACAATGATCGGGCGAATGTAGTTAGTGTTAGTTAACTATGCCTATTTAAAGAACTTTCTTAATCCATATTATTAACTTGCATAACTAAGTTTACATCAACTGATGAAGATTTACAAATCTAATAGTTCAAGCTTAACAAGTAACACTACAGTTGTTTTATGTCGCGGCAAGATATATATAGTTGGGAGGCAATACCTGCTGACTTTTCGTTTGTTGTGGATAGGACCCAAAAGTAAACTGTGGATTATTGGTATAGCTATTCCACTGCTAGCAATTCTACTCTGTTCAACCTTTACCTTTCTATGGATGAGGAGATGCAAAAAAGGTTTGTTGTGCTTTGTGGATGCCGTTCTGGTCTTTTCCTTGCCTTCGACGGATCAAAATTTTCTACCACACTGATGCTGTATTTATTATGCTTACAATTCAGGAATGCTGAGTTCGCAGAACAGAGCTGGTGCGAATAGGATTGAAGAAAACGCCTTGGTTTGGAGAATTGAAGAGAAGAGTTCAGAATTCACTCTTTTTGACCTTTCTCAGTTACTGGAGGCCACAGAAAACTTTGCAGAAGAAAATAGACTTGGACAGGGAGGTTTCGGCCCTGTGTACAAGGTAAATAAAATAAGCATCATGCTGGGCATAGCAAACACATTTTTAGGAAAATTGAACAGCTCCAGCTTAGGTGTCATCCGATGCTTACTCCATTAAGTGCCTTACAAGTTACAACTATCATCTGAAGACACCATAACAATTGGCTTCAGAAGATAAAATAAAATAAATTATAGGCACTTAATAAACTAAACCTGGATGGAGCATTGTTGCTTGCCTATGAATTTAACTTTGGCCAAGCTTTTAGAAAAACGCAGCAACAACTTAGATGCTACTATATTTTTTCTAAAAACTCGGTTAAGGTTAGACAAGTTTGAGATAGAACAAAGATATAATAAACTATAATTGGAACAAATGGAGTAAGAAATATAATGTATTTCTGTGGCCTCCTTGTTTTTTTATTGTAGTGGTTCAGATAATGATTTAGTAGCTTGTATGTCAACAAATCACACTTGTTATGCCATACAGAGGCCTTTTTTACATACTTTCAGGGGCAATTATCAGATGGTCAGGAAATTGCAGTTAAAAGGCTTGCTTCGCATTCAGGACAGGGTTTCACGGAGTTCAGGAATGAAGTTGAACTTATAGCTAAACTGCAACACACAAATTTGGTTCGGCTCTTAGGATGCTGCATCCAAGGCGAGGAAAAAATTTTGGTGTACGAATATTTGCCAAATAAAAGCCTGGACTTCTTTATCTTTGGTATGCACACTAACTCTATTTGTACATAAAAAAATTGCAGTGATCAATATTTCAAATCATATTTATCACTATCAACTAGATTCCTTATTTGTTTGTGGTTTGTAGATGAAAGCCAAAGCAGTTTGCTTAATTGGTATAAACGACGTGCCATAATTGAAGGGGTAGCACAAGGTCTTCTGTACCTGCACAAGCACTCTCGGCTGCGCGTGGTACATAGAGACCTTAAAGCTAGTAACATTCTCTTGGACCAGGATATGAACCCAAAAATTTCAGATTTTGGGTTGGCAAGAATTTTTAGCTCTAATGATACTGAAGGAAGCACAAAGAGGGTGGTTGGAACATAGTAAGCGCACATGTATTTGTCAACATTGTTACATAGTATTGCGTGATCAAGCAATTCTAATATGTTAGGATAACATTCTTATCTTCCTTATTACTCACGATTTCAGTGGTTATATGTCTCCGGAGTATGCCTCTGAAGGCATCTATTCGGTCAAATCTGATGTGTTCAGCTTTGGTGTTCTACTTCTTGAGATCCTTAGCGCAAAAAGGAATTCAGGTTTTCACCGATATGGAGAGTTTCTTAACCTTCTCGGATATGTAAGTATATGTTTTCTCCACAAAATGGATGCAAGTTGTTGTGCCACAACAGTCGTACAGATCATGAAGACTTAATGAGCTTTCTGCTGTTCTGCAGACATGGCACCTGTGGGAGGAAGGAAGATGGCTTGATCTTGTAGAAGCATCAATTTCTAAAGAGATGCATGAAGCAGAGGCTAGGAGGTACATTAACATCGCACTAATGTGCGTCCAAGAAAATGCAGACGATCGGCCCACCATGTCGGACGTAGTTGCTGCGCTAAATAGTGAGAGTGTAGTTCTACCTGAGCCAAAGCATCCGGCTTACTTCAACCTGAGAGTATCTAAATCTGTGGAATCAGCAATTGTTGCTGAGACGTGCAGTCTGAATGATGTAACCATCACTCAAGACCCCCAAGGCAGATAGGTCTTTCACCTGATTTCGTTTCCGTGTGTATATAGTCACCGGGTGGATGACGTGAATGGTTATATTTTTCCAGCTTTGAAGTGTTACCTCACTGTAAACTACTCCCTCCATCCCAAATTGTAAGTCATTCCAAGAATTTTAGAGAGTCAAAGTTTTTCAAGTTTGACCAAATTTATATAACAAAATAATAATATTTATCATACCAAGTAAGTATCATTAGATTCTTCATTAGTTATATTTTCATATTATACCTATTTGATGTCATCAATCTTTGTGTTTCTCTCTATAATTTTAATCAAACTTGAAAAAGTTTGACTCTCCAAGATTCTTGTAATGACTTACAATTTGGGATGGAGGGAGTAATCAGTGTTATTTCTAGTTCAACTATTTTTTATGAAATAATCAATCGGAAATACTGGTACCGTTTGGTCTTCGGTCTGCATCCCATGATAACAGTGGTACAAAATGACTCAGAGAACAAACAAGAAAATGGGAGACTGAAAAAAAAAATCGTGGCTCTACTATATAAACCGGACCACTGGTTTTCACAGTAAACTGTGAAGACTTGAATGCTTGTGTTTGATAAACAAAATTGTCCAACAGTGCATCATCTAGGAAAATCGGCGGTAACTTCGTCAAATTGCAAAATAGACTAACCATGGCATTACTTTTTTTTTGAAAGATCTGTCATGGCATTACTTTCATTGAGACAATGCAAATGAATATGCAGAACATCCAATTTAGAGTCTGGATAAGATAATTACGGCATCAGGGGAGATCTTCCAAAACCATTTAGACCGGTTTTGGCTTCTTAGTCCGAGTTAGAAGTTGTACTTTGACACGAAAATTGTAAGAGTTCGACTCATTAGGACAAGATCTCCCTACCCTGTATTTATAAAGGAACACAACTGCTTGAGTCCAAATCGCAATCTAAACTAGGCAAATGTGAGTCGAGGCTAATCTTGAGCTCTAACACTATGCAAAATCAGAAAATATTTGTTTTCCAACAAACTCAAGACCCCAACATTCACGTTCCCTCAGGCGCACGTACCGACTACCAACGGAGCTACACGACACATGTGACTATATAGATGACGCTATTCTTTTAACTATACAATTTCAAATCTTATATTGTATATTTGACTCTCCAAACGATATCAAATGAAAAAGTTATTAACTGCAAAGCTGTAGATCTCGTTGAATACTATAACTTTGATGTTGACTTTGCCTCCATTCAACATTGTTAATTATCTCAAATCTAATCCGAGAACCTATATTCAATATTTGCTCTTGTAAACTCAAATTATAAAGTTATCAACTACAAAGGTTTGGATAGCTTTAAATTCTACCATTTTGGTATAAAGTTTATCTTGATCCGATATCATATGAAAAAGTTATGAATTTTTTTGTTCAAAAAGTATATCACCGGCGGTTCAAGCCACGACTTGTAAGTGGACCTATTAGTGCCGGTTCATGGCGCACTACAGCCGGCGGGGCGACGGCAGCAGACATCAACGATGTTGGTTCGGTTCAATCGAAAACCAAACGATACCGAACTTGTCGATTTCTCGTGTTGTGACAAACTGATCAGCTATGAGATTTTAGAAACCAAAGTTTGTGGAAACCAAAGAAACCGAACCGAACTTTCGGTTAAAACCAAATGCTCAATCCTAGCTATCACTGTTGGTTAGAGCCACGAATCGGCATTGGTACTCTATCACTATCGATTCCAAAACAACCGGCAGTGATAGTTCGATAGTGAATGTCTTTTCTAGTGTAGTGTAATGTGTGTGTGGATATCAGCCAACGAGTCCAAAAAAGGCGAAATGTCTAAGCACACCACCTATTTATAACCCTACACACAAAACTAGTCGTCATCAACTTTTTGCACACAAATCATGTGCGCCGGAGACCTCCAGTTAGCACCGGAGTTCTCCAACAGGCGAATTCCAACGTTCCAAAAAACTAGTTGTTGCACTATCACAAAGTCCACTGACTTCTCTAATGTACCGCTAGAGAATTCATGTGAACATTGACGCTCCACTACGAAAGAAAAATCGTCCCTGGAGTTCTAGTGCGCACTCTGGTGCACACACCAGATAGCTCCGGTGAGTTTTACAAATCAAAACAACGCGCTATCAGTTGACTGTAGCTAAGCGCCCTGTTCGCTTGGGCTTGTTTGGCTTATAAGCCGTACTTTTTCAGCCAACGAACAGTATTTTTCTCTCACACCAAATCAGCCAACAGTACTTTCAGTCATGGCTTATCAGTCAAACAAGCCCAAACGAACAGGACGAAGCTCTATTGCCACACCTCCGCTGAGCACCAGAAGGTTACGTGTGTGCCTTGAATTTCTACAGCCAACAACAGTCTTAGTCGAAACTCCGTTCATGAGCCACCGGAGAGATTCAGTGAGTACTTAGACTCAGGCACTTAAGTTCAAACCAGTTATAAAGGCACTATGGGATACTCCGGTGCACCAACTTTGGTGACCTCCGTAGGATTCCATTGAGTGCAGAACACCTCATCAAGTGCAGCTTTCAAACCTTTTCAAATGGGACTTGTGAAAGGATCAAGATGCCCAAGAGAGGAGGTGAATTGGATTAATTCTAAATTTCTTTGCAATAATTAAATCCTACGGTTAGCCCAATTAACCCCTTGTGCCTAGAATACGTTTCTATTGATCTACCGCACAAAAGTTTAGCAACCTATGTTCTAATCCTACTCTAGCATGGCAATTCTATGAATGTAAATGACAAGAATTGAATTGCTCAAAATAAATGCTCAAAGTAAAGAGAGAATGAGGAACGCGGCGATGTTTTGCCGAGGTATCGGAGAGTCGCCACTCCCCACTAGTCCTCGTTGGAGTACCCGCGCAAGGGTGTAGCTCCCTCTTGATCCGCGCAAGGATCAAGTGCTCTCTACGGGTTGATTCTTTGACACTCCGTCGCGGTGAATCACCCACAACCGCTCACAACTTGAGTTGAGTCATCCACAAGCTCCGCCGGATGATCACCAAGCTCTCAATCACCACCAAGCAGTCTAGGTGATGGCGATCACCAAGAGTAACAAGCATGAACTCTCACTTGACCACGACAAGCCTAATGAGAAGGGCGGACGCACACTTTGCTACTCTTGCTTTCACTAATAAGGGTTCTCTTTGGGATTCTCAAATCTCAATCACCTCACTAGGACATTGCTCTTCTTAACACTCTCAAAGGTGTTTCTCAGCTGTTGGAATGAGCAAAAGTACCCCCTCACACGAATGGAGAAAGTATTTATAACCTTGGTTGAAAAACGAACCGTTATGTGCCTCTGTGGGGTGACCGGACGCTCCGGTCAGTTCACCCCGACCTCCAGTGTTTAAGTTGTGACCGGACGCGTCCGGTCGTGATTTTCCCTCTCTAGAACCTTACTGGAGTCGACCAGACGCTGGCACCCAGCATTCGGTCGCTCACCTCTTAGCGTCCGGTCGCACCAGACAAATTCACCTTGATCAAATGAACTGATTGGACTTTGCGCCAGCGTCCGGTCACACTGGAACCAGCGTCCGGTCAGTATTTGACCCTCCATTCACTTTCAACTCTCGATCATTCGTGAATGAAGTTTGCTCCATTGGATCTAAGGGCTATTTTGGAGATACCTAGTGCTAGATTTAGCAAGTGTGCACCACACCTAACCCACTAGACTCACCTAGGTCAAGCTACCCATCCATACCCCCTTAATAGTACGGCCAAAGAAAAAAAACAAAGTCCTAAGCTACTCTAAGTGTCTCTTCAATACCAAACGACACTTAAAACTAGTCCATCCTTAACCTTGTCGTCCATCATTTGAAAACCGAAATGATTTCCATCGTAGGGGCATGACCACCATGATTGCCCAATCGATCTCCATTACCACGACCTAATTTAATTGCCTCTGCAAAGCACACGTTAGTCATAGTAATCACGTATTGTCATTAATCACCGAAACCCAACTAGGGGCCTAGATGCTTTTAATCTCCCCTTTTTGGTGATTGATGACAATACTACCTCGAGTATGTGAAAGAGTTGAGGTTTTTAACATGCTTGGATCATATAAGTTATTGACAATAAGAACAAAAGAATTAGACAAGCTTATATGACCCAAGCCAACATGTTGTACTTAAAAGATATGAAATAAGCATGACTACAATAAATAAAGCTCATTTGCATCGGAGTAAAACGCGGAAGCAAAAGTAAATGAGCATAGCACAAGTGATATGACATAAAAATAATTCAAAGTAGAAAGCACACATGTCACATATCACATAACTATCACGGTCACATAGATATCACTATCACATAAATATAGTTCGATGCATGAAAGTAAATACACGACGAATGCATAATAGTGTATCACACATAAAACTCCAAATGTAATAGATAAGCTAATAGATAGACTAGATAAGCTAATAGATAGACTCCCCCTAAATGAATTGCTCCCCCTAAGGCTAACATACTCGAACCCTCTCCCTCTTTGGCGTCAAACACCAAAACCTAAGGGTCGGTCGGTGGGGCTACAGCGGACGAGTCAGGCGCTGAGGTGCGAGGAGCGAGCTGAAACTGTGTGCCATCATCATCTGATCCTGAGCTCTAAGCTGTCTGACCCTCTATAGCTGGAACCAACGCTGAAGCGGTCTGGGTCAGATCAGGGACTGGAGCGGCTGTAGACTGTGTAGATATGTCTATAGCAGGCGGCTCTGATGATGCAACTGACGAAGGGAGCATCTCTGTAGTCCCGGTAATAGGTGCAACTGTGGAAGGACCTAGGACATGTAGATATGGAGGAGTAGGCTGCCCTGTCAACTCACTGAAGGAAGCACCAAGGCTTCTAGAAACTGTAGTCTCTAGCACAAGCAGCGAAGAAGTCTGAGCCGGTGTGAAGCCCGTCTGAAGAGGTGTGAACTGCGGGGCTAGCACTGGCGAGGCAAACCACTGGGGCACCTGCTCTGTAGGTGAAGCAAACTGTGCTGGTGGCTG